GCGCGATTCCTCATGGTCTCGGCGATGAGCCAGCATCGACTGAAATCCAAGAAGACGCCGCGAACCTGGGGCCAGCTCGACCTGAATCTTGCGAACGGTGGCTCGCTCTCAGGCAGCTCGGTATGTGTATATGCGGATAGATCATGTCTGGAGCCCGGGTCGGTTTTCCGGAAATGCATGCTCCAAACGGGAACCCACATTTTGACATTCTGGACGCGGGGTGTGCAGTGTCGGTGGTAGTCCGCTGGCCATGGCGCAAGAGATCGAACGGCAGTGTGTACGAGCATTTCCTGGCGAGATCTTTGGCTTGTCCGGAGGCATCTCTAAAAAGCATCTTCGCCTTCTCTGGGCCGTTCTCCCTTATGCTCCATAAGTGTCTTCCTCGAGGGTGCCGGCATCAGTCATCGGACCATGGCCCGAGCACGAAGGATTCGGTCCTCGCTGTCTTGCGGAATAAGGCATCTCGTTGATTCGTATCGAGCATCTGTGAAGACCACTTTGGATGAGATTGACGACAAGAGTGGCTCAATAACTGTCCTGTAGAGGCCTCAAACGCAACGTAGAACCGGAGATTGACGTGTGTTCGTGTTTGTTCATGAGGCTGCAGGATCGAAGACAGAACAAGCGACACCATCGAGAACAGTGAGAGCGGGTCTGGCCATGTTGTGAATCACTCGAATCTCCATATTTTGAAGCGGTAGAAATCGACTTTCATTCCAGTTGTGCAGACACCAAGGCTTTTCTTCTCCTTCTCATCCCCAGGTCCAATGGCCCTTGCGAAGGGCGGGAAGTCTCCGAGCAAGAAGAAACCAGGAGTACGTGAGCGCACAGGCAGGACTCGCCTAAATATAGGGAGTAGAGGGACGGCAAAGCGAGCAGCCGAGGTGGGTGCCATTGGTTGAGCTGCAGTCTTATCGTCCGCGAATGTCTAAGTCGGCAGTTTCTTGGTGTCACTCGTTTGGGAAGGTCCAAAATACCTTGTTGCATCAGACCCGGTGTGAACCGAGTACTTGGCACATATCCAAGTGCTCGTATGCTCTGCAGGGTGGACAAGGGACAAGCACAAATGCAAGTGATGGGTGGTGGTGGTGGTGGTGGTGTCGGTGGTCAAGTCAGACGAAAGTCAGAAGAACCAAACCATATCAGGAAAGTCAACCTGACTAGGAAAGTTAACCGGAAATGTCCTGTCCAATAAAGTGTCGCCACGAGTCTCGGCTAAAAGTTTCCGGTATCAGTCGAATATCATGACAGCATCTTCTTACCTCTAACTAATGCATCATCAAAGCGAGTATTGTGACCACAGCGAGCGTCGCGAGGTACCTCGTCCGCCTCAAGATCCCTGTAGGTTCCACACACGGGATCCCTGTCTACCTGTCTTTGCAAAGCTCAATCTGGGTCATGCTTGGTACAGACAGTACTCCGTACAAAACACATTGGATCGCAACCCTCCAATACTCCTTTCCTCGTGCGGGCTATCTCTCTGACAGATTGTCTTCTTCCTAATTCATTCGATTTTGTCTGATTCTGTCCACCACTGCCCACTGCATCTACAGGCACCAGGGTAGCAATGCCGCCATCAGAGGCTTCGTCTGTTTCGCTCACCTAGGTGCACGAGCAGCAAGCAGATCCCACTCCCTGAATAAACCTGCAGTCTAACGCCATCCTTTTTTTTTTTCAGGAAGGTCGTGACGGACTGCCAAGGGCGATCCGTGTCGTGGCGCTCGCTACTGGGTAGGCCAGACTGCAAGGAAAAGAAAACTTCTACGACTGCTCGCCCCCCGCACACATCCCGGGGCTCGCCGCAGCCGCGTCGGTTCTGCCAAAAAGAGCAATGTCAACAGCAACCCTGGCTGGTGGTTGTAAGCAGGTGAAGCACGTGAATGATCCTGGGTTCCTTCCCTCCGTCGCTTTGTCCCTAAACGGAAACAGTTGAAAAGACTAACGCCCGACCAGGGTCGTGTTGCAGACAAGCTGCAAGAGACTTTGGTAGCGCAGAGGAAGTCGGAGCCGGGCTCCACAGTGGCAAACTCTTCTGCAGCAGCTGGACCTCCAAGGAAGTAGCCGCTGTGAGACTGGTAGATGGTGTGGAGGACGGTCAGTATGATGTGAGTGTCTGACCGAGAAATATGTGAAGGGTGGGTTGTGTGCGTTTTGAGATGCATCTTGCGAGGACCGGGACGACATATCGGGCCGCCGCTAGTTGCAGAGGCTCCTCTGTCCAGGCCGCTCCAGAGATAAGGTGAAAGAGTGCGACTCAATTGGCTGGGATGGTGGTGAACGGGGATAGACGGCGATGTTCAGCCGGTGGTGCTTGGACCTCGTAACATCTCAATTGTTCTACTCGTGCCGAGAAGGAGGCGAAGGTCAGCATCTCCGCGCACGGAAGAGCACTACGGAGTAGCTCTCGGGTTGCAGAGCCGTCTTTCAGCACGTCCGATACCTATTCTGGATGGTCAGCGGCGGCGTAAACGAAAATACCCCGCACAGGCGTTGACGGTTGAGAATGTGCCGGCATGTCAAGTGGCCGGCCAAGAGAGAACTCTACTGGAGCTATTAGTGTTGGCGTTCGCAGCTGAAACATTACGTCGATGTCACGACTGCTCGGTGCACAGCCGTAAGTCGCAGACCCGAAAACGGAACGGATACAAGGTGCCGGACTCGGCATTGGCTTGCACATGCATCACATTCGATTAGTGCAGACCGTGGCCTTTGCGGTCGGTTGCCCACACCTCCAGGAAAGGACATGGGAGGCTTGCTGCCAATTACACCTCTGCATTAGCAAACGGAACCATTGGCCACGGGCTCACGCCTCACTCGAACGCAGGAGAATAGTCTGACTGGGGAAGCGACAGACCAGGCCAAGAGGAGCTCAGAGGAAAGTAATGACGAACCAATTTCATGATAGGAAGAAAAACGCCCCAGGTTGCGGTTCAGGATGCCGCGAGGAAGTCTTTCTGTTGACATTTCCCCCATGCAGACGCCCTGCCTGTTTTGGACGCAGACAGTTGGCTGTGCTTGTACAGAAAGGGAAGGTAGTGGGAGAGAAGCAACAGCAATCGCAAGGATGTCTGCACTCGCATGTGCTGTCCTTTGACAGGGATGCATTCGACAGTGATGCAGGCCCTTGATAGACCTTTGCCCAATTCGGCGAATCACGTCCTTCTAGCCATACTCGTTGGCCAATGCAGCAAAGCATCACCATCAGTGTCACACTTGCACGACTGACTCCAAAGTGCGGCGCCAAGTTGCTGTCCTTGATCATGGTCGTGTTTGTGGGGTAATGACCACAATGCAGTCGTCGCATATACCTTCTCACAGACAACAACCTCCGTTCAAGACGAGCACGCCGCCGACGCCGACGTGTCCCCTCGCTCTACGCTTTGCAGTTGCGCAACAACGAAGGGGCCGAAAGTGCGTTCTCGCCCTCGCCAACTGTCATTACATCTCAAGACGGGGGGATATGCCTCTGATTCAACGGCCGGCATCTCCAAAGGTCTCCAAAGGTCCTTGCAGTGCTTCGCAGCAACCTGGTAGGATCCCTGTTCTGGCCTCATCGAGCAAGACATGGGCATGGCCATCCCTGCCGGCAGTTGGAGAATAGTTGATACCCTGGCCTGTGACTCAAAGACACTTTGGGCATGTCGTTCATCTCGCTTCCGACACCACTTCAGCCCAGATTAAGCAAGGTCCAACTGCAGCTGAACCAGACGAGTCTGGTAAATAAAATTTTGGTTATGAGCAGGTGATTATGGTGTCGATTCGTAGAGCAAAGCCTGCAGAAGGTGTAGTAGAGAAGTGCTTTGGTCGCAGGGTGTAGGGTAGTTCTGCGGGCGCTACGAGCAGGTTATCGGAACACAAGGTGACGATTCAAGGCTCGTGATGCGCTGCAGCCACGATAGCTTAGGATGGTTGGCATGCAACTCTGGCAAGGCAGCGGTATGAGAACTTTGCAAAAGGGAGTTGCCGTATCTGAAGGGCGTAGTATGGCTGGGTGTCGCGGTGACGGCGAATAAGTCAGACTCCAAGCACTCGTCCCTATTCCGATTTAATGGTAAACTAGCCTCTTTGAGCGCAGCATGCCTCGACCAAATTTCCTCGTCAAATATGTACATCGTGCTCGTACGAGGGGTGTGAGGTCGAGTTCTAAGGCACTCATAGCCCGCAGTAGTGGCTCCGATGTACTGAGTACGAGACCATAATCTCGGCGCACTCAGCACAACGGACGTAGTATTGACTCGGTGCTTGGATTCATGCGGTATATGGAGAGCGTTCCATATCCTGGCAAGGTACAGTAGGTTTGAGACTCAAAGCCACGAGGGATCAATGAAGGTATCCTTTGCAAGGCGTTCTGTAGCCTCGCAGCCTCGTGGGCAAACAAAGCAAACTCAATGCTTGGCATGCTCAGGATACCGCTAACTATATCAAGAAGGTGCATATCCTGCCTTGTACCACAAGTGGAAGGTTGGACGAGCCGGCTCCCAGAGGAGAGCCTAGTCTACGCACAGTTAGACTATCGGAGCGGAATAATCATTTTCCAATTCGTCTCTCGACCAAGCAAACGCTGAATTACCACAAATCATTGGAGCGAGGCAAAGTCTGAGCGCCTTCGCCTACAAGTGTCTTTGGCCCAAAGTCCTGCCACCCGCCCCTCAGCAACCCTCGAGCACCTGCGCTTGTCGCCCAAAGAAACCGATTGGGGGCGCAGCGGAAGAGCGCAGGCAGTTAATGTCGCTTTCCATCTGCTTTTGGCGCTTTGTCCTGACAATTTGATCCAATTCCACTCATTGTCCATGTGCACTCGCCGTTGCTACTGACTTGATTAATGCAGAGTTGAGCGCTGTGCCTTGTCCAGCGGTACTCACGACAGGAACTGGCACCACCGAGTCCCTCTCTTCCTGTCTCTTTCCGTCCCTCGCATCCACACATCCACCGTCTACCTTTCGTTCCCGCGAATCTCTCCCTCCGCCTGCGTACTCGCCAGGACGCCGGACCCGTAACCGTCAACCCTTGTCCCTGACCCATTGAAGCACTTCTTCCCGTTCGAATACTGAGTTAGCTGCAACTCCGTCGAATCCTACCTCCTCTATCGTCCGCACTTCAGCGCATTTGCCCGTCCAGCATTCCGCGTATCCCGAACTGGAGACAGAGACACCGCTGTCACCGAGAAAGCGCGGTTCCTTAACAATGACACCGCTGCCGTCGACTCTTCTGCACCGCACCCGACCACAGTGGCATCGGTGCCAATTATATCCAAAGAGCTGAACACCTCTCCGGATCCCTTCGGCGAGCCCTTCGCCGTCTTCAAGATTCTCCGAAGATACACTGAAGAGGTGGAACCTCTCACAATCCCCCGGCTGGGCCATTGTCGTCTTTGTGATTCTCCAAAGGCAGCGCTGCAGTTGTGATGGCGGAAAGAACAAAAGAGTGATGCATATACATCAGCCCTCAACGCTCTGTTTCATGGCAATGGACGGCCAGACAAGATTCTGACCAGAAGCGGGCCAGCTACCAAGGAGAAACATGCTGGTACATCTCGCCACGTGCGTGCGGCGCAACTGAACCAGGGCGGCTGAAGCTCTTGTTGGCCTCGCTGCTGATGGGAGAAAGAGTGAACAAACGCATATCAAGATGGGTACCCGGCTGTGCTGCTAGCTTTATGCTCGCTCTACCCATGCTCCTACAACTTGTGCAGGATTGTCTTCGTGCATCTGTGGAATGCCAGCCCTTGTCAAGGCACCATATCGCAAATCGGGCGCGCTGGCGTTTCTTGCACGGCGGTGCAAGTTACTTCCACTCAACACCCTTCAAGGAGGACCGTGATCAATGGTTTGGGCAAGAAAACAGCGTGGATACTACAAGAGAAAGGCATTCGTCGATAGTGATACCGATGCAGAGGGAGGAACCTGGTTCGGATGTATTTGCGCGCACCTTGCCATCCCTATCTATACCTTGGCCGGTGCTGGAAGCAAAGAACAGTCTTGCCAAGTCTGTCTCGTGCGGCAAGCGACCACGGCGCAGGCAATAGATGGTCTTTCCCCACGTTCACCGCTTTCTGGGACTGGAAGCATAGGAATGACCGCTGCTGGATGTTCGGGAGTAGGGCGAGGCGGCGCACGAACTCTCCCGGTATCTTGTCAGGTCGGCACAGCTTTCCGCAACTGGAGACTTCCGTTTGGCAGTGGGGAGACAAGCCAATGCGGCGACCTGATCTCATCAAGGAGGAACTCATCGCCCATGCCTGAGGAGACGCGAAAATGTGACAAGATACCCTCGCGGATCTATGTACATGACCGCTATGCAGGTTCTATATAGTTACGATCTCGGAGAATGTCTGTGAGTTCGAGAGCGGCCTCCGCGAATACATATTGCCATTGTACCACTGCATTGATAATTCAGGATGCCATGTTCAATACCAATCCCGCCATCTTGCTCCCTGCCGAGCCACCATTTGCAGCATGTGCTCCGATACATCTTCATGCTCGGAATACACCTCCGATCTCGTCGCGGAACACGGTGCCGCGATGGCTTGTCTGCCCTGTCTCTCGGTATAGCCTTGCTCAAGCGTTCGGCATCTCCGTGTCCGTCAAGCCGCCCACGTACCGCAATCCACCCTCTACCGCGTACACAGTTGGGCAAAGCACTGCGAGACCCGTCCACGCCGGGAACTCTGATCCTCTGCTTGTCTTCACCGCTGAGCGGGAACCCGTGATGAATGAAGCTCGACGTCGCTTCCAGGCATTCACATGGCCGCTCATTCGCCCACCCTGATATCCACATGTCCGTCCATTTCTTCGCTGCCTGCGCTGTTTGCTCGTGCATCATCGGTGCTGCGGGAATCCATGTCGGGGAGACCCAGAACTGCAGAGCTGCAGAGCCGTTCTGTGCCGGGGCAGCCTGTATGCGCGGCGCGCGTGTGGGTTCTTGAAATACTCCGTTGTACTGTGTAGTCCAGAAGAAATGAGAAGTACCTCATCAAGTACTTTCTCCTCCTTCCCTGATGCCTTGTTTCCTTGTTGCCCTGCTGAGGGCACCGCTCGCACGTTTGTCGGTCAGGCCCCCAGCATCGTGGTTGTGAGATGGACTGTCACACTTTGCCTGCCCTGCCTGCCTTGTGCCATCGTGTCTCGGCAGGATTGTAGCTCGTCGGAATGTGTCTGTCCGCTCTCTCTCGTGTGCTCTCGTTGCTTGTTCACCTCGTGGTCATGAGAAGCGATCATCGGTCTCATCCCCTGCCCATCCATTTGACGCGGAGTAGTCGTCGGTCTCCTTCCTTGCTCATCCGAGAGCCCTTGGAAGCGGCTGACGGTCTCGTCCCTCGTCCAGGCATCGGTGTTGGCGCCGTCGGGAATGCGCAGGGGGAAGAGACGTCGATCACCCACTCCCCCCACCCGCTCGCGTTCCTCGACTGAGAGCCTGCCAGGATACACGATCAATCCGAGTTCCCTCTCGCTGCCCTGCTGCGCGATGAATCAATCATCACGCTGTCTCTCCTCCTGCCTGTCTGCCCTGCTGCCTGCCTGTCCGCAGCGGCCCGCATTTGCCCGTGTCTGTCGGCTTTCTTTCCCACACCACGCGCTCCCTGCCTCTTCCAATCAACATATCCATCATCCGCTACGCTGCGTCCATCGCGTGGCATTGCTCCGCAAGCATTCTGGGTCACAGGAAGTGGTGCCAGCGGGTCGGACACGCCGGAGGCCTCCCCCCGCCGCTGTTCGGGGCGCCACACTAACGAGATGGAGGTCCCGCGATATTTAAACCATTGTTCCGACATCCTGACGATGCCGTTAACAGCGTGGAATAGGCGGCAGGGCCGTTGGGCAAAGTTGGTCGTCGTCGATGTCCGGGGTCAACTGGTCGAAATGCCTTTGGACCAGTTGACCCCCGCTGGGGTACCCGCAACTCGAAGATTTCAAAACGTGGCCGCAGCGACAAATGGGTCTTATGGGAGAAGCGCACGATGCTTCTGATACTCCCCGTATGTTTTTTGTGCGGATCGCGCCACGCGTTGTGGTGCTGTGGTACGATGAAGTTTCGGCGGCGGCCTGGGCTTGCTCTGTGCGGGCGGCGGCGTCACTCGGCCGTCTGGGATTGCCTCTCCGCATCGGTATCGAGGCTCCGAGCAAGCATTGAGTGACTGGGGCATGTTGTCGTCCGATCTGTTGCCCGGGGAGGGAAGGGGAGCGTTTCCGCTGGCGGAGAAGGCTGCTTCTCCGTCCTTCTTTGCCTGAATTCGCGGTGAAGAGATCCGTTCTTCCGCTGTATGACAGCTGCAGCGGTATTCCACGTCTCTGATGTGTCGGCTGCATGCATTTTCAGTCCGGGGAGCGTTCAATGGCGCGAGCACGGGGGGTTGAAGGCATGACAATCCGTGTTGGTTTGCAGTCCGATCAGAGCTGCGGGAGAGGACTTTCTGCACCAGCATGGGCGTATTCAGGGTCCTCCTCAATTGTTCATCATCTGCTTGTTTCGACAGTCAGACTTTTCCAAGCGTGGAGGTCCTGCTGTATGTGTCGTCCGGCCCTGCGGGAAGAGCGCGCAGACCAGATCGGCCAGCGGTCGAGGAGCGCCTGAGAGAGCTCACGGCCCGCTCGAATCCCGAGTACTTTTGCCAGCTACTCCGGAGCGCCATCGCTCCTGTCGGAAAGGGATATTGGGCTCCAGCGACAATGGCATGGATCTTGAGGCGACCTATGCCAACAAGAAGTGAAGGGAGAGCGGGCCAAAGGCTGTTGAAGATCCCGTTGAAGCGCTTGTCATGCTCGAGGCAGTGCGCCCACGAAGGCGAAATGAAATCAACTGCACTCTCCAATGGAATCAGGGCTGCATGTTTTGTCGTCGCTGTCAATACCTTTTTCGCGGCGTGGACTTGTGTGTGTTTTCCGTCTCCAAAGGCCACAGGTTTCCGTAAACGGAGAGATGTGATTGGTGGACCAAGGTCTCGCTGCCGAAGACGCCGAGAGACAGACTTTCCCAACAGGACAATGGCGACCTCGTCATCTTCAGTCCTTGTAGAGATTAATGATCTTGAGAATTCGTTACTGGCTGGCTTGTCGGCCTGGGCTCTCTCACAGCATTGCGGGGATGGACGTATTAGGTGCGGATTGGACACCAATTTTGTGTGGTTGCTTCACACGTGCCAAACCGCCGAGGCCATGGATGATAGATTGGTAATGCAGACACATACATGTGGACGATAGGTAATAACCATTGAGTGCCTAACAGCCACGACTCAGTATCAATGCAGGAAGAGGCCGCAGTTCGGGATTAGGGCGATGCATCACAGACCAGTTTGCCAGGTCTGTCTGTCAGTATGGGAGCTCGGCGGAGGAGTCGATGAGCGAATGGTGATGCTTCACAGCAATGCAGCTCTCCGTTGAACGACCTCAGTCAACGCAATCAGGCAAAAGAAAGGCCTTGGCTGAAAGACTTGGTTACGCAGGGTAGGAGGATACGAGGCAAAGGGGATGGAGTTGAGACCTCTACGCTTATACGCAGACCTCCCACCCCAACGTATTGCTGAGTCCCCGTGGACTGCGGTGGGCGTTCGCTTGCCTCGCTCTGAAAGAGTTCGAAGTACCCCGGTATTGGGAGACGACGATACGAGGACCATTATCAGACTCCCATGGCACAGGTAACTACAGATCGCCCTTGCAAAGATCCGACAACAACCGCGCTCTGCTCGAGGTCTCGTCTCTGGTCTGGACTTTCACAACGTAAGGCGACTCTTCCATACTAACAGCGGTGAACTTGAGGGACGGGGAACTGCAAAGGAGGGAGTATGCGTAGGAATACTCCCGTGTACCCGCATGACGCTCCAGATTGCGGTCACTCTAGAAGGAATTCATGCCTGGTCGACACGGTGTCTGATCACATTCATATTGATCTTGGGTTGCGAGGTGGCTCATGACATTCATTGCTGCCATCTTTACCAAAGGTATCGATATGAGGACACCCGCCGATACTGGACATTTATCGCAGTTCACTCTCGCTCGGAGATCTTCCCGCAGCCTGGTGTCCGAACAGATTGCGCAGATATGTCAAATGTCCCAGTCACCTTCGAGCGAGCCCACATCTCCCGGTGATGTGTCGACTGGCTTTGTTCCGCCTCTTACGAGCAAGCACCAAAATCGCCGAAAACCGCCTCCTCGATCTCCTCAATCTGCTCCTCCTTCTCCGCCAAATCATGTATTGAGCCACCGATATTTCTCGTTGAATCCCGTTCGACATATCTCGAGCAGCGGCGTCTAGAGGTCTGCAGCAACCTTGACTTGGAACGGATGCGGATGTACTCTCATGGTCCAGTCACCGCCCGCAAGGACCGACTGTAAGGCCTTCACTGTAAGGCCTTCAGCCGAATGACAAC